TGTAATATGTAATAAATAATAATAATAGGTAATAATAAGTTCCCTTGAAGCATGAAAAACAAAGTCCACCCCTGACAGTGACATGATAAGATGAGATAACATCTGATAAGAGCTGACTTTTGATGAGCATATGCGAGGGTGGGGGAGGGTGCAGCAGATAAGAAAAGATTAGAGGTGATATTTGTTGAGCATTACCCTCACTTTGTTTTCGCTGGTACATGTCTGTCTGCCTATTTGTCTGTCTGTCAAGCTCACTGTCTATCTGTCTATCCATCTAGCTCTCTGTCTCAGAGAGAGCCACAAGACTGCCTCATCACCTTTACTCATGTCTTCAAGCAGAGTATAGCTCTTTGTCTGGATATTTTGGGTTATCCTAGGTAATTTACACTATGTATACTTGTATTTATGTGTACCTGTGAGACAGAGATAGACAGACAGATAGAAAGAGAGAGACAGATTGAAAGAGATACAGAGACAGATAGACAAAGACAGATAGAGACAGAGACAGATAGACAAAGACAGATAGAGACAGAGACAGATAGACAGAGATAGACACAGATAGAGGTAGACAGAGACAGTGATAGAGATAGACAGACAGAGCTAGACTGACAGAGATAGACAGACAGAGATAGACAGATAGTCAGAGAAAGATAGAGATAGACAGACCCTAAACTTGGGGTTAACATCACTTTCCTCTTAAAAGAGGAGTGTTAACATGACATTACATCAGTAAATCCTCGGTGTTTACCGCACTGTTTGCTCTAGCTGGCACTCAACTTAACTGGCGCTCCCACAAGGTACTAAGTGGTCCCAGATTTTTTTAATACCACACACTGAGTGTTAGGACCCATTCTATGCTGACAAGGCATCTCAGGCCAATCATGCCAAATTTGAAGGCAGGAAAAATAAAACGTATATATACATTTGGGGCTCTAGGCGTAAGAACGTATACATATGTTTGGACCGTTTGGACCATTTAAGGGTGAGGCAGGGTGGCCCAAACAGAATGAAAAACGAAAGATTATTATTATTATTATTTTTATTAACACATCGGCCGATTCCCACCAAGGCAGGGTGGCCCGAAAAAGAAAAAACTTTCATCATCATTCACTCCATCACTGTCTTGTCAGAGGGGTGCTTTACACTAGAGTTATAAAACTGCAACATTAACACCCCTCCTTCAGAGTGTAGACACTGTACTTCCCATCTCCAGGACTCAAGTCCGGCCTGCTGGTTTCCCTGAATCCCTTCATAAATGTTACTTTGCTCACACTCCAACAGCATGTCAAGTATTAAAAATCCATTTGTCTCCATTCACTCCTATCAAATACGCTCATGCAATCTTGCTGGAAGTCCAAGCCCCTTGCACACAAAACCTCCTTACCCCCTCTCTGCAACCATTCCTAGGCCGATCCGTACCCTGCCTTCCCTCCACTACAGATTTATACATTCTCGAGTAATTCTGTTTTGTTCCATTCTCTATGCCTGTCCGAACCACCTCAACAACCCCTCCTCAGCCCTCTGGATAATAGTTTTGGTAATCCCACACCTCCTAATTTCCGAACTACAAATTCTCTGCATTATATTCACACCACACATTGCCCTCAGACATGACATCTCATCTGCCTACAGCCTTCTCCTTGTTGCAACATTCATCACCTATGCTTCACACCCATACAAGGGTGTTGGTAGTACAACCATACTCCCATACATTCATTCCCCTTTTTGCTTCCACAGACAAAGTTCTTTGTCTCCACAGATTCCTAAGTGCACCACTCACCCTTTTTCCCTCATCAGTTCTGTGATTCACCTCATCTTCATAGACCCATCCGCTGACACGTCCACTCCTAAATATCTGAATACATCCACCTCCTCCATACTCTCTCCCTCCAATCTGATATCCAGTCTTTTGTCACTTAATCTTTTTGTTATCCTCATAACCTTACTCTTTCCTATATTCACTTTTAATTTTCTTCTTTTACATACCCTACCAAATTCATCCACCAGCCTCTGCAACTTTTCTTCAGAATCTCCCAAAAGCACCGTGTCGTCAGCAAAGAGCAACTGTGACAACTCCCTCTTTGTGTTTGATTCTTTATCTTTTAACTCCACACCTCTTGCTAAGACCCTAGCATTCACTTCTCCTACAACCTCATCTGTAAATATATTGAACAACCAGGGTGACATCACACATTCTTGTCTAAGGCCTACTTTTACTGGGAAATAATCTCCCTCTCTCCTACATACTCTAACCTGAGCCTCACTATCCTTGTAAAAACTCTTCACTGCTTTCAGTAACCTACCTTTTATACCATACACCTGCAACATCTGCCACATTGCCCCCGCTATCCACCCTGTCATATGCCTTTTCTAAATCCATAAATGCCACAAAAACCTCTTTACCCTCCTGTAAATATTGTTCACCTATATGTTTCACTGTAAACACTTGGTCTACACACCCCCTACCTTTCCTAAAGCCTCCTTGTTGAGCTGCTATCCTACTCTCTGTCTTACTTTTAATTCTTTCAATAATAACTCTACCATACACTTTACCAGGTATACTCAACAGATTTTTTTTTTTTCAAGTTGGCCATCTCCCACCGAGGCAGGGTGACTCAAAAAGAAAGGAAATCCCCAAAAAGAAAATACTTTCATCATCATTCAACATTTCACCTCACTCATGCATAATCGCTGCTTTTGCAGAGGTGCTCAGAATACAACAGTTTAGAAGCATATACGTATAAAGATACACAACATATCCCTCCAAACTGCAAATATCCCAAACCCCTCCTTTAAAGTGCAGGCATTGTACTTCCCATTTCCAGGACTCAAGTCCGGCTATATAAAAATAACCGGTTTCCCTGAATCCTTTCACTAAATATTACCTTGCTCACACTCCAGCAGCTCATCAGGTCCCAAATACCATTCGTCTCCATTCACTCCTATCTAACACGCTCACGCATGCTTGCTGGAAGTCCAAGCCCCTCGCCCACAAAACCTCCTTTACCTCCTCCCTCCAGCCTTTTTGAGGACGACCCCTACCCCGCCTTCCTTCCCCTACAGATTTATGCGCTCTCCATGTCACTCTACTTTCATCCATTCTCTCTAAATGACCAAACCACCTCAACAACCCCTCTTCAGCCCTCTGACTAATGCTTTTATTAACTCCACACCTTCTCCTAATTTCCACACTCCAAATTTTCTGCATAATATATACACCACACATTGCCCTTAGACAGGACATCTCCACTGCCTCCAACCACCTCCTCGCTGCAGCATTTACAACCCAAGCTTCTCACCCATATAAAAGTGTTGGTACTACTATACTTTCATACATTCCCTTCTTTGCCTCCATAGATAACGTTTTTTGTCTCCACATATACCTCAACGCACCATTTGCCTTTTTTCCTTCATCAATTCTACGATTAACCTCATCCTTCATAAATCCATCCGCCAAAACGTCAACTCCCAAATATCTGAAAACATTCACTTCTTCCATTCTCCTCCTCCCCAATTTTGTATCCAATTTTTCTGTATCTAAATCATTTGATACCCTTATCACCTTACTCTTTTCTATGTTCACTTTCAACTTTCTTCCTTTACACACAGTCCCAAAGTCGTCCACTAATCTTTGCAGTTTTTCTTTAGAATCTCCCATAAGCACAGTATCAACAGACTTATTCCCCTGTAATTTTTTCACTCTCATTTATCCCCTTTGTCTTGATACAAAAGAACTATGCATGCTCTCTCTCAATCTCTAGGTACATTACCCTCTTCCATACATTTATTAAATAATAGCACCATCCACTCCAAAACTTATATCCCCTCGTGCTTTTAACATTTCTATCTTTAACCCATCAATCCCAGCTGCCTTACCCATTTCATTCTACCCACTGCCTCACTAACTTCCTCACACTCACAACTGGCTCTTCCTCCTACAAGATGTTATTCCTCCTTGCCCTATACATGAAATCAAAGCATCATAGTTTTCTGTTTATGAATTGTTGAAAATAAGTCTAAAGAGTGACTATTCCAACTCACAAGTGATTGGGAGCCACCTGCTCCCAAGTCTGAAACTTCATTTTTAACAATTTCTTGTGTCTAGTTTGGGCTTTGGAATATTTCTGTCTATGGGGAAAATCTGAAGGGTTAAGGCCTTGATGCTCCCACTCTGCCCATCTGGGAAATCCCATCAGCCATGTGAATTTTCTCTGTAACTTCCTAATTGAAATTGATTTATTGTACCATTTTTAACACATGAGCACAACCTTACTGTTTTTTTGTGCTGATGTGAAAACCCTCTTGTAATGAAGTGCTAAGTTTCATGTATATTTCAGTTATTGATGTATTAAGAAATACAAAATTTACTTTTGAGTGAGTCTACCATTCTTTAAATTTAACTACCTTATTTTCCAACATAAAAGATGCACAGGCATGTATATAAGACATCAGTTTTGGCAGGCATATTCTGGGAAAAGTGAAAAATTCAGTAGTACTCGCTTCAAAATGATAGGCAGTGGCTGGCTGCTTATGTGCACAGCTTAGCTGAAAGAGGTTGGATCTTACACAGCCTGTTGTCTGCTCCACCACCACCAGCTACCTAAAGAAACATGACTGCTTATTCTTTACAGATAGCAGCTTTGTAATCATGTGTAACCACTGAAACTAATTTGCTTATTACCTATCAATAATGTGTAAACTGTTATTTATAATAGTTAAAAATCTTAAAGTACATAATCTGGGAAACAGTTATCTTGGAGAAGGAGCAGTTGAAGTTTAGTTTACTGGTACTGCAGCACTGAAGCTACCACTTGACAATATCCCAAAGCCTACCCCTTTTTCATGACCTTGAGCATATAAGACCTGGGGTGATTTTCCTAAACATATTTTGGGGAAAAAACATTCCTTATATGCTAGAAAATATGGTATCTTTTCTCATGTTACTCTTTTTACTTCAAATAATGATTCTAGTACTATAATGTTTTATTACACATTTACAGGTTCGTTCGGAGACATTAGAAACAATTAAGAATGCTTCACTGCTGGCACCTGAGACTATGTATTCGTATGTGGAGGAGTGGCTCACTAGTCATGTTAAAAAGGCTACTGACACTGGAAGCATTTCTGAGAATCAGCTTTGTAATCTCTTTTCTCCAGCATACCTGGAGTGGGATGCCCTGTCTCAGGTAATTTTACTGTAAATATGTTACATATTCAGTAATATAATTTTTTAATGTTTGCACTCTTGCTGTCTCTCACTCAATAAAAGTTCTGTATTCTGTGATTGGAACCCTGGAGGAACCTCTTTGAATATGTCATATCTCATTCATCTAGTATACCCTCTCTTAACCTCTGCACATGTCAGTGCTCATTTGTTGTGATCAACATCAGCTGGGAATCCCTCTCAAAGCTCAAAGGCCTAATTGTCAAACATGCTCTGAACAGTACTTTAAACATAAAGGCCTACCTCTTCTCCATGGATACTTTATTTTATCAAGCCCCTGGTGGCCATGCTGCTGTCATCAAGATTTGTGGCAGTCCTTTCTGATCTAAGATACCTGTCTAGATTGGCTATTTAATATTTGCAGCTCACAGGGTTTTTTTGGGGGGCCATTTGCCTTGCCCTGACCATTCTTCACCTGACTGGGATGGTTTGTACACAAATATAGGTCCTTCAAGTGCTTAGTGTGGGAAAAATCCTTGTTCATTACTTGTGATGTTACAGGCCTTTTCTCTTACTTTGGGCTAGAAATGCTATTGTCCATCTATGAGCCAGTGCCATTGATGGGAGTATGCACATGATGTCACTGTGAGCGTCCTGCATATTGGCAGTCGGGTTTATGCCATTGATACTATGTTTACCTCTCATGAGTCGCCCCCAAAACAGTGATTTTAATTCTTTCGGTGTCGGTTCCATTATATAACAGCTTTGAAGCCAGTGTCAGTCCCATAGTATTACTCCATGAGCTCAACTCATTTGAATAAGCTGTGAGCAGTGAATTTGGGCCTAGATTTGAGAGAATGGATCTGTGCGGTGAGTGTGCACCATGTGCACCATATAAAAAAAAATCCTGCAGCATACAGTATATAAAATGAGAAAGTGCGACCATGTTTTTGGTTTAAGACTGCTACTTTGCGGCGTATTTCTGTATGGGGTTTTATGGGTACATTTTCTGTTTCTTGGTCTCATTTGATAGAATGAAAGATATATTTCAGAAATAGAGGTTATTTTGATTAGTTTAAGAGAATGGAAGATATATTAAAGAACTGAAAGGAACCTGAAATTGTCCTCAAAATAGCTGAAAGGTTCGATTTTTGCCGATATTCCAGAGTGCACAAATGATGTCACATGTCACTTTTTTTTTCATTTATTTTGTTTTTTTAAATTTTGTGACCCTGAAAGCAAGTTTGAGAGCAGGGGTCCTGACCCTGAAAGGATTAAGCATAATATTGCACATTACTGCTGGTGCTGGTATTACTACTACTGCTTACCTACTATATGTAAGTACAGTGGAACCTCAAATATCGAACTTTCTTCGGTCCAGAAGACTGTTCGAGTGCCTTTACCGAATGAATTTATTCCCATCAGGAATAATGTAAATTAGATTTGTCCATTTCAGACCCTCAAAAATACACTTATAAAAGCACTTACAAAAATACACTTACATAATTGGTGTGTTGGGAGCAGTTCGATTTTTGAGGTTCCACTGTATGTTACATTCAGACTTCAAGCATTTTAGAATAAGTGATGAGAATATCAAGTCATAGAAAATTAAACTGTCATTTATATAGGCTTAATTATGAGTGCACTATATCACACCTATTGGATATTGAAAGGAAAAAACCTTCAGTCTTGATGCTGTTGAGGGGCTCTTGATCCAAGGAATCTGTGCTACTCTATCTTTTCCATCCCCCAAGGTGCTGTACGATCCCTACGAGTTAAGTGCTTCTCCGAGAAATAAATAAATAAAGTATATGTTGAAAGAAGGCAGCATGTTTTCCTGCTAACATAGTTGGCACAGTTTCTCAAGCCAGGTGATTGTTGGCACAATATAAATTGCAGTTGCTGGTTCCCTTGACCCCTAGAATCCCCAGGCAACTACTTTCAGATAGAGGGCTGTAGGGGCCTGGTGGAATCCCTGGGGTTTATCTTTCATTAGTTGCATATTGTTGCCAGCATATTTTCTGTTGAACAAGTGTTTGACAAGGTGCCACCTTGTTTAGTGTCATACACTGCTATATTTGACAACCAAAACTGTCCTTGTTTGATGCTTGAGTTTTGCAAGTTGCTCAGTTCTGTCTGCAGGTGCCCTGACCCCATAATATGGGGGCATTGTTCCTGCTTCTCATCTTCCTGTTTCTCAGTTGATAGAGGCTCCTCTGTACTAGGTCTATGGCTTGTTTTTTTCTATTTTGATTTAGTGGGAATTAGGCTAGATGATTTTTATAACATTTATGGATACTTCTAGGTAGTAGTAGGTTGGTAGACAGCAACCACCCAGGGAGGTACTACCGTCCTGCCAAGTGAGTGTAAAAAGAAAGCCTGTAATTGTTTTACATGATGGTAGGATTGCTGGTGTCTTTTTTTTCTGTCTCATATACATGCAAGATTACAGGTACATCTTGCTACTTCTACTTACACTTAGGTCACACTACACATACATGTACAAGCATATATATACACATACCCCTCCGGGTTTTCTTCTATTTCCTTACTAGTTCTTGTTCTTGTTTATTTCCTCTTACCTCAATGGGGAAGTGGAACAGAATTCTTCCTCTGGGTTTTCCTCTATTTTCTTTCTAGTTCTTGTTCTTGTTTATTTCCCCTTATCTCCATGGGGAAGTGGAACAGAATTCTTCCTCCGTAAGCCATGTGTATTGTAAGAGGCGACTAAAATGCTGGGAGCAAGGGGCTAGTAACCCCTTCTCCTGTATAAATTACTAAATTTAAAAGCAAAGCTTTCATTTTTCTGGTGTCTTTTTTTTCTGTCTCATATACATGCAAGATTACAGGTACATCTTGCTACTTCTACTTACACTTAGGTCACACTACACATACATGTACAAGCATATATATACACATACCCCTCCGGGTTTTCTTCTATTTCCTTACTAGTTCTTGTTCTTGTTTATTTCCTCTTACCTCAATGGGGAAGTGGAACAGAATTCTTCCTCCATAAGCCGTGCGTGTTGTAAGAGGTGACTAAAATGCCAGGAGCAAGGGGCTAGTAACCCCTTCTCCTGTATATATTACTAAATGTAAAAGGAGTAACTTTCGTTTTTCCTTTTGGGGCACCCTGCCTCGGTGGGATACGGCCGGTGTGTTGAAAGAAAGGAGATTTTTATAACATATTTATGGGTACTTCTGGGTAGTAGTAGGTTGGTAGACAGCAACCACTCAGGGAGGTACTACCATCCTGCCAAGTTAGTGTAAAATGAAACCCTGTAATTGTTTTACATGATGGTAGGATTGTTGGTGCCCGTTTTTCTGTCTCATAAACACGCAAGATTTCAGGTACGTCTTGCTACTTGTACTTACACTTAGGTCACACTACACATACATGTACAAGCATATATATATGCACTCCTCTGGGTTTTCCTCTATTTTCTTTCTAGTTCTTGTTCTTGTTTATTTCCCCTTATCTCCATGGGGAAGTGGAACAGAATTCTTCCTCCGTAAGCCATGTGTATTGTAAGAGGCGACTAAAATGCTGGGAGCAAGGGGCTAGTAACCCCTTCTCCTGTATAAATTACTAAATTTAAAAGCAAAGCTTTCATTTTTCTTTTTGGGCCACCCTGCCTTGGTGGGATATGGCTGGTTTGTTGAAAGAAAAAGAAGATTTATGGATACTCCTGAAGACTACTGCTAATTATTGGCAGTGTTGCCTTCTGAAAAATATCTTGTTTACTATGTCTGGCATGATACCAGGGGGAGCACTGGTCCAACTGAGTCAGTGGTCTATTAATCTAGTAATAGATAATATTGTATTTGGGCCCTGATTTAGATAGTTGTTTTATTGAATTATGTAGGCAAATCTTTTTCTACTTAGGAGTTCCTCCAGCTCTGGTATTAGTATTTTGGGACATGAATTTCAAAATATGCTGTAATATTTTAAAAAATAATTCTAGATATTTCTGCCAAAAAGCTAAAGTAGTCAACAAATGCAAGCAGTACAACCTGGGAACATGGAAGAGTGGTCAGATATCTTCTGAAAAGTTGATAAACTTTATGAAAAACTAAAGGTGCTTCATTCATGTCATTTGGGCCAAAGAAAACTTTACATAGTACTGATTAGCAGTATATATAATTATTTTCACTGTGCTTTCGGGAGATTCTGAAGAGAAGTTGCAAAGGTTAGTGGACGAGTTTGGGAGAGTGTATAAAGGAAGAAAGTTGAAAGTAAACATAGATATGAGTAAAGTGATGAAAGTATCAAACAAGTTAGGTAAAGAAAAATTGGATATCAGATAGAATGGAGGTAGTATGAAAGAAATGAATATGTTCTCATATTTGGGAGTAGACTTGTTGGTGGCTGGGTTTATGAAGGATGAGGTAAATCATTAAATTGATGAAGAAAACAAGGTGGGTAGTGTATTGAGGTATTTGTGGAGACAAAGAATGTTATCCATGGAGACAAAGAAGGGAATGTATGAGAGTATAGTGGTACCAACACTCTTATAAGGGTGTAAAGCATGTGTTGTAAATGCTTCAGTGAGAAGAAGACTGGAGGCAATGGAGATGTTGTGTCTAAGGGCAATGTGACAGGCTGGAGTTTTGAGACTCTATGACCGCGGGTTCAATCCCGGCCGGGGGTATGGTTTCTAAGGGCAATGTGTGACGTAAATATTATGCATAGAATTCACAGTGTGGAATTTAGGAGGAGGTGTGGAGTTACTATAAGTATTTTTCAGAGGACTAAGGTGAGATTCTTGAAGTGGTTTGGTCATTTAGAGAGAATGGAGTAAAATAGGATTACTTGGAGGGTGTGTAGATCTGTAGTAGAGGGAAGGAGAGGCAGGGATTGTCCTAGGAAAGGATGGAGGAGAGGGGTAAAAGAGGTTTTTTGTTGAAGTGGCTTGGACATACAGCAGGCATGTTAGATAGGAATGAGTTGAGACGAATGGTTTATGGGACTTGATGAGCTGTTGGAGTGTGAGCAGGGTAATATTTTATGAAGGGATTTGGGGAAACTGGTTAGTTAAACTTGAGTCCTGGAGGTGGGAAGTACAGTGCTTTCACTTTAACCCCTTGACTGTCGCAACCCCCAATCCTGAGGTGTCTCCTGGTGTCGTGAAATTTAAAAAAAAAAAATTATTTTTTCTTATGAAATGATAGAGAATCTTTTCCCTATTGTAATGACACCATAAAAACGAAATTTGATGGAAAACTGATGGAATTATGCTCTCGCGAAGTTAGCGACCTCAGCGATATTTACAAATTGGCGATTTCGCCCACTTTGAGCCCTATTTTCGGCTAATTCTGTTGTTCCAGTCGACCAAACTCATAGCTATTTCTTTAGAACTCCATTTTTTCTATCGATTGAGTACAAGAAACTGCCCATTTACTGATTTCAACTACCCAATAATGTGGTCAGAAATTTGCAATTTGGCCAATTTCACAAAAATTAAAAAATATGACAATTTCAAAATAAGGTCCAGAATGAACAATGCAGACATTCCTGGCTCTAAAATAACATTTTCTTTGTTCAACAGTCATGTCTCCAGGCCCCTCTGATATTACTCTTGCTTTCTATTTTGAATTTTTATTCAAACAAAAAATAGAAGACTTACTATTATGCAGACTACTGCAATACTGTAATAATTGTGTAAATAACATAAACCCATTCATGACTGCATATTAGAATGGCTAGTTGGACATTTATTGGACAATGACATCATTTGTTTGCTTTTGAACATTGGCAAAAATCAAACATTTCCTCTATTTTGAGCTCCATTTCCAGTTTTTTTTATAGTAAAATCAATCAAAATCACCTCTATTTCTATAATATGTTTTCCATTCTATCAATTGAGACCAAGAAAACGAGAATACAACCATAAATACGATACGAAAATAGACCACAAAGTCGGCATTTTAATTAAAAAAAACGGTCAGAGTTTTTTTTTTTCTCACTATGCACTGTGTGCTCCAGGATTTTTTTTATATGGTGCACACTGACCACACAGACGCATTCTCTCACATGTGGGCCTACCAGCTGTCTCCTGCTTGATTTAAAGCCGCTAGAATTTACGAGTATATATACGTCAAACACGGTACCTCATAAGACGTATATATACGGCCGCGACAGTCAAAGGGTTAAAGGAGGGGTTTGGAATAATTTCTGTTTAGAGTGACATCTACACTGTTGTATCTGCATGCCTCTGCAAAGACAGTGATAGTGTGAATGATGGTGAAAGCATTTTCTTTTTTTGGGTCACCCTGCCTCAGTGGGAAACAGCCATTATGTCAAAAAAATAAATAATAATTATTTTTTATCAGATATGCTTTTCATACAGGACTTTCCATTTTTATTATTGGCATCAAAAGATGCCATATGAATACTTTCCTTTTCTCATTCATTTAAATTTTAATTAACATCAAGGTTATGAATAAGTGGAAGGCTACTGTATATTTTAAGCTAGTACATTTGAGAATGATAATAGATTACTTTGGTAAACGCTTTCTTGTGAATAATTAACAATTTTTGCTAATTTTTTGTGGAGTGCATAGATGATTTGCCATTATCATTTGTGATGTTTATGATTCCTTTTCATTAGCTTCATTGTAATTGCTATAATTGCTTTCCCTTTTTTAACATCAAAGTCAGTGATACCATACTGGATTAAGAGGCCACTGTACTTGCACACAATGTTATGTTCTAGTCTGAAGAAAAAATACTTGATCAAGTCTGTCTATTGATAAATATTTACCCAGTGAAATGTTGTCACATTAACAGCTTGCTCTGCCCCAATGTCTGCTCTTCAGTGTTGTTAGCAATGTGCCTTGTCTCCAGCACTAATGTGTTGTTTCTCATTATGGTTGGAGTATTAAAAAAAATTATTGCTTCCATTCATATTTTGTTGCAGGTTGTGGAGAGTGTAGTAAGTCGTGTAATGAAGAGTGAAGGATGCAAACCCAACTCAGAGAGTGGCATGCAGCTGTTGCGTCTCTGTTTATCCTATGAGACAACGGATCCACTCATATTGTCAACTTTACTTTCCTGTATCTCTGGCCTATTTGTCTTCATAAGACTAGTACCCAGTGTACTTCCAGATGTTCTAAATAAGATCTTCTCTGCCTTAACTTTCTCATTGCCCGGACAAACTAAAGATTCAAGAAGTAGAGCTGTGAAAAATGTTAGAAGACATGGCTGCTCTCTGATGGTGAAAATTGCTCTTGGGTATCCAGATATACTCCTTGAGGCATTTGATTTTATTAATAATGTTGTTGATAGTTTGAGTCATAATCCACAGGAACTCTCACAGATGGAAAAAGGAACTTTGCAAGAAGCACTTATGATAATTAACAATCACTTTCATAACTTTGATAAACAAACTGTTTTTATTGGTAAAGTTTTGAGCCCTGTTTCAGTGATGTGGAGTGATGTGAAACAGCCATTTAGTTCTCCACTAGATTTCATGTCATTTGTAGGACTGGATAAGGCTCCAGTAGAACCCAGTGAGAATGATGTCAATGGCCAAAACAGAGCTCAAATTATGTACTGTGTTAATTTGATATTAGCTGTGATAAAACGTTCAGAGTTTTCCTCAGACCCTGATAGGGCAGAACATGGGGGATTTATATTGGAACGCTCGGAAAATGGAGCAATTGTGTACCGTAATCCTGCCACACCCCATGTCATGCCGCTCCTCCATCAGCTGTTCTGTCTTGTGCGACTCTTCAATAATCTTTGGCATCCAGAGGCATTGGCATGTGTTTCACCAGGGTATGCCAAAGCCCATGACCTGCCAGATAATGACAAAAACAATATTTTAGGGCTTACTTCAAATATTGCTGATCCTTGCATTGACTCTCCTAAGGTAATGAAATTTTATTAATTTTAGTTGTACTGTTTTATACTCAGTCAAAATTCTGCTAACAGTATAATGTAGGGCCCCACTTTACAGCATTCCGCTAATATGGACACTTAAAACTATGACCAAAACTCTCTACGTGTCTCCCCCCACCTGACATAATAATATGGTCACTGCATACCACCCGGTTTGTTTATATTCTCATTGAGCATGACTCTCCATTATGTCTGAAAACATTCCAAAATTTCAAGTGTTTTAAAGTTATTTCATATTTTATATCTACTGCCTTCCATCATACATAAGGGGGATTAAGAATAGACCGTTGGCTGTCTTCAAGAAGACAATGGACAGGCACCTAAAGTCAGCACCTGACCAGCCGGGCTGTAGTTCATACGTCAGTTCTCTGTGGCCAACAGTAACAGCCTGGTTGATCAGACCCTGATCCACCATGAGGCCTGGTCTCAGACTGGGCCGCGGGAGCATTGACCCCCGAAACTCTCTCCAGGTACGCTCTGATAATTATACTTACGTGTACCTTTATCTAAATAAACTTAGTGTGCTAGCATGCAGGCACGCATTAAAATCATTAAGTGTGTCTTATCAGTCTTGAAGACGCCATATTAATATTGATAATAATAATAACACAATAATAATCACTCTGAGGCGCATTAAATGTCGTATACAGTGGTCAACAGAAGGTCAACTGACAACCGAAATTGCCGAAAACCAAATTAATGTTTCCCATAAGAATTAATAGGTTGGTAGACAGCAACCACCCAGGGAAGTATTACCGTCCTGCCAGATGACTGTGAAACAGAAACCTGTAGCTGTTTTACATGATGTTAGGATTGCTGGTGTCTTTTTCTGTCTCATAAACACGCTAGATAACAGTGATATCTTGCTACTCCTACTTACACTTTGGTCACACTTCACAGACACGAACATGCATATATATATATATATATATATATATATATATATATATATATATATATATATATATATATATATATATATATATATATACATACATCTAGGTTTTTCTCCTTTTTCTAAATAGCTCTTGTTCTTCTTTATTTCTTCTATTGTCCATGGGGAAGTGGAAAAGAATCTTTCCTCCGTAAGCCATGCGTGTCGTATGAGGCGACTAAAATGCCGGGAGCAATGGGCTAGTAACCCCTTATCCTGTAAACACTTACTAAAAAAGAGAAGAAGAAAAACTTTATAAAACTGGGATGCTTGAATGTGCGTGGATGTAGTGCGGATGACAAGAATCAGATGATTGCTGATGTTATGAATGAAAAGAAGTTGGATGTCCTGGCCCTAAGCGAAACAAAGCTGAAGGGGGTAGGGGATTTTTGGTGGGGGGAAATAAATGGGATTAAATCTGGAGTATCTGAGAGAGTTAGAGCTAAGGAAGGGGTAGCAATAATGTTGAAGGATCAGTTATGGAAGGAGAAAGAGAATATGAATGTGTAAATTCAAGGATTATGTGGATTAAAGTAAAGGTTGGATGCGAAAAGTGGGTCATAATAAGCGTGTATGCACCTGGAGAAGAGAGGAATGTAGAGGAGAGAGAGAGATTTGGGGAGATGTTAAGTGAATGTATAGGAACCTTTGAACCAAATGAGAGAGTAATTGTGGTAGGGGACCAGAATGCTAAAGTAGGAGAAACTTTTAGAGAGGGTGTGGTAGGTAAGTTTGCGGTGCCAGGTGTAAATGATAATGGGAGCCCTTTGATTGAACTTTGTATAGAAAGGGGTTTAGTTATAGGTAATACATATTTTAAGAAAAAGAGGATAAATAAGTATACAAGATATGATGTAGAGCGAAATGACAGTAGTTTGTTGGATTGTGTATTGGTAGATAAAAGACTGTTGAGTAGACTTCAGGATGTACATGTTTATAGAGGGGCCACAGATATATCAGATCACTTTTTAGTTGTAGCTATACTGAGAGTAAAAGGTAGATGGGATACAAGGAGAATAGAAGCATCAGGGAAATGAGAGGTGAAGGTTTATAAACTAAAAGAGGAGGCAGTTAGGGTAAGATATAAACAGCTATTGGAGGATAGATGGACTAATCAGAGCATAGGCAATGGGGTCGAAGAGGTATGGGGTAGGTTTAAAAATGTAGTGTTAGAGTGTTCAGCAGAAGTTTGTGGTTACAGGAAAGTGGGTGCTGGAGGGAAGAGGAGCAATTGCTGGAATGATGATGTAAAGAGAGTAGTAAGGGAGAAAAAGTTAGCATATGAGAAGCTTTTACAAAGTATAAGTGATGCAAGGAGGGAAGAGTATATGGAGAAAAAGAGAGAGGCTAAGAGAGTGGTGAAGCAATGTAAAAAGAGAGCAAATGAGAGAGTGGGTGAGATGTTATCAACAAATTTTCTTGAAAATAAGAAAAAGTTTTGGAGTGAGATTAGCAAGTTAAGGAAGCCTAGAGAACAAATGGATTTGTCAGTTAAAAATAAGAGAGGAGAGTTATTAAATGGAGAGTTAGAGGTTTTGGGAAGATGGAGGGAATATTTTGAGGAATTAAATGTTGATGAAGATAGGGAAGCTGTGATTTCATGTATAGGGCAAGGAGGAATAACATCTTGTAGGAGTGAGGAAGAGCCAGTTGTGAGTGTGGGGAAAGTTCGTGATGCAGTAGGTAAAATGAAAGGGGATAAGGCAGCTGGGATTGATGGGATAAAGATAGAAATGTTAAAAGCTGGTGGGGATATAGTTTTGGAGTGGTTGGTGTTATTATTCAATAAATGTATGGAAGAGGGTAAGGTACCTAGGGATTGGCAGAGAGCATGCATAGTTCCTTTGTATAAAGGCAAAGGGGACAAAAGAGAGTGCAAAAATTACAGGGGGATAAGTCTGTTGAGTATACCTGGTAAAGTGTATGGTAGAGTTGTTATTGTAAGATTTAAGAGTAAGATGGAGAATAGGATAGCAGATGAACAAGGAGGCTTTAGGAAAGGTAGCGGGTGTGTGGACCAGGTGTTTACAGTGAAACATATAAGTGAACAGTATTTAGATAAGGCTAAAGAGGTTTTTGTGGCATTTATGGATTTGGAAAAGGCATATGACAGGGTGGATAGGGGGGCAATGTGGCAGATGTTGCAAGTGTATGGTATAGGAGGTAGGTTACTGAAAGCACTGAAGAGTTTTTACGAGGATAGTGAGGCTCAAGTTAGAGTATGTAGGAAAGAGGGAGATTATTTCCCAGTAAAAGTAGGCCTTAGACAAGGATGTGTGATGTCACCGTGGTTGTTTAATATATTTATAGATGGGGTTGTAAGAGAAGTAAATGTGAGGGTCTTGGCAAGAGGCGTGGAGTTAAAAGATAAAGAATCACTCATAAAGTGGGAGTTGACACAGTTGCTCTTTGCTGATGACACTGTGCTCTTGGGAGATTCTGAGATAAGTTGCAGAGGTTGGTGGATGAATTTGGTAGGGTATGTAAAAGAAGAAAATTAAAAGTGAATACAGGAAAGAGTAAGGTTATGAGGATAACAAAAAGATTAAGTGATGAAAGATTGGATATCAGATTGGAGGGAGAGAGTATGGAGGAGGTGAATGTATTCAGATATTTGGGAGTGGACGTGTCAGCGGATGGATCTATGAAAGATAAGGTGAATCATAGAATTGATGAGGGGAAAAGGGTGAGCGGTGCACTTAGGGGTCTGTGGAGACAAAGAACTTTGTCCTTGGAGGCAAAGAGGGGAATGTATGAGAGTATAGTTTTACCAACACTCTTATGTGGGTGTGAAGCATGGGTGATGAATGTTGCAGCGAGGAGAAGGCTGGAGGCAGTGGAGATGTCATGTCTAAGGGCAATGTGTGGTGTGAATATAATGCAGAGAATTCGTAGTTTGGAAGTTAGGAGGAGGTGCGGGATTACCAAAACTGTTGTCCAGAGCCCTGAGGAAGGGTTGTTGAGGTGTATGTAGAGACATGGAGGGACATGTAGAGACATGAGGGACATGTAGAGAGAATGGAGCGAAACAGAGTGACTTCAAGAGTGTATCAGTCTGTAGTGGAAGGAAGGCGGGGTAGGGGTCGGCCTAGGAAAGGTTGGAGGGAGGGGATAAAGGAGGTTTTGTGTGCGAGGGGCTTGGACTTCCCGCAGGCATGCGTGAGCGTGTTTGATAGGAGTGAATGGAGACAAATGGTTTTTAATACTTGACGTGCTGTTTGAGTGTGAGCAAAGTAACATTTATGAAGGAATTCAGAGAAACCGGCAAGCCGGACTTGAGTCCTGGAGATGGGAAGTACAGTGCCTGCACTCTGAAGGAGGGGTGTTAATATTGCAGTTTAAAAACTGTAGTGTAAAGCACCCTTCTGGCAAGACAGTGATGGAGTGAATGATGGTGAAAGTTTTTCTTTTTTGGGCCACCCTGCCTTGGTGGGAATCGGCCAGTGTGCTAATAATAAAAAAAAAAACATTAACAATGGGCAAGTAATCCCTTTTCCTGTAATGATTACTAAAAAGAATAAGAAGAAAATTGTCAAAGTGGGATGTCTGAATGTGCATGGATATTGTGCGAATGATGAGAAAGAGATGATTGTGGATGTTATGAATGAGAAGAAGCTGGATGTCCTGGCTTTAACTGAAACAAAGCTGAAGGGGGTGGGAGAGTTTCAGTGGAGAGAAATAAATGGGATTAAGTCAAGGGTTTCAAATAGAGTTAGAGCTAAAAAAGGAGTAGCAATAATGTTGAAGGATAAACTATGGCAAGAAAAGGGAGTATAAGTGTATTAATTCAAGGATTATGTGGAGTAAAATAAAGGTTGGATGTGAAAAGTGGGTTATAGTAAGCATATATGCACCTGGAGTAGAGAGAAGTGTAGAGGAGAGATAGATTTTGAGAAATGTTGAGTGCATAGGGAGTTTTGAACCAAGTGAGAGAGTACTTGTGGTTGGGGATTTCAATGCTAAAGTGGGTAAAAATGTTATGGAGGGAGTACAGTGGACCCCCGCATAGCGAACTTAATCCGTGCAAGAGGGCTGGT